GAAGAGCGGGGTCCCAGACGGGAGAGAACCTCGTAAATTCTTCCAATCACCGACAAATGTTACCGATTCCAAGACGTGCGGTGCTGCTGGAAAGTTGAGCACCATCCGCGTGTTCGCTTCCGTGTGTCTAAGTTTTAATAATAAAACAGTCGTAGTTTACACACAAAGCGTCAAACGTCGAGATTAATCAATCGTCGATTCTTTCGAATCAAAGATTCTCTCAGAGCATGTATCATCATCACATCATCAAATCAATTCTTTCATTGTTAAATCAATATTTTTTATTTGCTATTGGATCTTTGAGGAAACATTGAAATGGAAATATTATAATTAATGTAAAATTTTCATCAAGTAAGAGAGAGATGTAGTTACCAAATTTATTTCATAATTTCTATGAAAAGTTTTACTAAAATCTACTATACTTAATTTCTTTTTTTTATGTGTATCTGTTATTATATTTTATCTTTTTATAATTAAGTTAAAATTAGTTATATAATTGGTTACAATTATTCTCGTCTTTATATTGCAAATATAAAGTTTGTACGTAACGTGTTGTAAGTTTATTGAAATTTGTAAATTAAAACAAATTCCTTTTTTATTTAACATTATTTATTTCACATTATTTATTTTATTAAATTATTTTTTTAAATTGCGTTAATGTCCAATTTGTTTTATGCACAAGACATTTACGATATGAAAACTAATAATTTTATATGTAGAAGAGGATATATTCGAATTTTCGATACATTTTCTTAAGATTACACTTAAGATTATATTTACTGCAAAATTGTTGAAAAAAATTCCTTGTTTGATTTCGTGGCCGTGTCTTTATTTATACCTTTCAACAAACTGAGAAAAAACATTACGTATAATATCTGTAAAGAAAATAAAATTTATTAAAAATTTTTAAAATTCATTTGAACAAAAATCATATAACTTAATCCAATAAAAATTGAAATCATTATTAGAAAAGAGCATTCATGTTCATGACATTTTATATATGACATAATAATATAATAATACGTGCAAATAATATAATAATACGTGCAATCTATGAGTCGTAATGAAAATACTGAAATTCATTTAACAAATATTTCGCCATTTGATGAAACTCTAATATTAAATACATATTAAATAAGATGCTTGTTATAAAAAATTCAACTTTTATTATATTAAGTGTAATATACAAGAAATCTATTATAATCAATCATTTTTTTTACGTAAAATTTTATTTTACATTTCATACTTAATAATATATATTAATACATGTACGTATATTTTATGATAAATTTTGAAAAAGTCTATCTAATCAATAATTTTTCATTCAACGAAGCTTGCAATATAATACAAAGAAATAATTTTATTAGTTTAATTATATATCACTTTAATTAAATTTTTTACCTTCTTTATTTTGCACCAAAAACAAAATTATTAGGATAATCAAATGACCAAAGCGGTTGTGGATCAGCGCTGGGTTGTGGTTCAGGATCAGCGCTGGGTTGTGGTTCAGGGTCAGCGCTGGGATTTGCTTCAGCAACAACTCCATTAGACATAATCAATCCTAGCAAAGCCAAATTCAGGAACAATTGGAGTAAAAATGAAATTATCTTCATGTTTTATGATTTATAGTTAAATAACTATCACAATGGTGCTAACTTCGATTTGGATTCTCCTGAACTAAACTGAGAAAAGGTTTACATACCGACAGGTATATATACCAAGAGAATATCTATTAAAATTCATTAAGATATCGATAAATCCATTAAAGTATCAAAAAATTTTAATGGGCGCATTTTACCTTATATATAAATATATATTCTTCGAAACTATAATTAGAACAAATATTTTTTAGTAAAAGAAAACGGCTATTCGCAGAAGGCAATTTTATAAAGAGCTATATCTAATCGCTTTTGTTCTTCCAAAGTAATTAAAATCCAATAAAATCTATTAAAAATCCATCAATTTCAAAAAATTTTAATGATTGTATTCTATATTATACATTGCAACAAATATTTTTTTATTTAAAAAATATTTATTTGCCAAAAGAAATTTTAGAAGAAACTATAAATCGCTTTCTTTCTTCCAAAGTATCTAATCACAGTTAACATTTTTAACAATTTTCATTAAATATTTTTTAATTGTGGATAAATTGATTCTTGAAAAATGAAATATACTGCAGTTTCTTAATTTTTTTTCGATAAATTACTGCTTTCTTTTTTAAAAAATATTTACAATTAGAATTTAAAAAAATTCTCTCTTATTTACATAAAATATGCTTATTACAGTTCTCTTTACGTGTAAAATAAAGAGAAATTAGTTATATTAAATGAGAGATTAAAAGATTAATAAAATATTTTTAATAATAAACTTTTAATCTCATTAGAATATTTTTTATGGATAATATTTACATAAAATTAATGTTATATTATGATAATAATAATGCGTTTTTTATGATTTTTTATTTTTATTGTACATGTTATGATTATCTTTATTTAAATTTTGAGTTAGTTTTATTTCATATTTTTTATATCTTTTTCGGAAAATACTGTAAGAAAGATAAATAGCAATAATAATAATTAATTTTTAAATTAATGAATATATAATGACGCTAATACGCAATCAAATGATACAAAGGCATATCTACCCTAATAATTTTATTAGGATATAATCTGATATAATTTTAAAAGAAAGAATTAAACATTTTCTTACATTTACTAATATTTATAAAAATTTAAATCATTGTCTTTTTTCTTTATTAATCATTCTTAAAATTTACATAAAAATAATAATTCTTGGCTCATTTATTAAAAATAAATTCAAGCAATAATAAGGCTAATGCGAGCTATCTACATATTTTGTTCTTTCTTTTTTCTTGTAATTTAAAGTTAGTCTCTATTAGTCCAATCAAAGATAAGCAACTACTTGAAAAAGATCTCAGGAATAAAAATCAAAATTAGTTTCGATACGCATATTAACTAAAAAAAGGAGAGAAAAACGAATATTATAAGATATGTAATGTGAATTGCTTTATTGCACATGTACCTTTCTATCAGTGCTCAACGGCTTTGAGCACTGCTAATAAATTTCCGTCAATATTTATTTTGTCTATTATATTAATGTCTAAATATCTTGACTATAATACATTAAATATCCGTGTAAATGAAACTAATACATTATACTTATAATATTACACAAAACTAATAAATTATATAATTTAACACAAATTTAAAATATTTATAATATATAAATGTGACAACTTACTGTATTTAATGTTGGAATGAACGCTATTGTGTAAAAGAAAGAAAGAAAAAGAGAGAAAAAGAGGGAGAGAGATAGTGAAAGAGACAGAGAGAGAGAGAGAGAGATTTATAATTTATAATTATTACTTTTAATTATTGTACTTTATTTTTATCTTTTAATTAAAATTCAGAATATAATGACAAATACATTAAATAATAGTTATAAAAATTATATCACATATATAAAACAAGATTTTAGGCGTTATTATTGACAGGAAATATTTCATCAACTTTAAGATGTAGTTATTAAATTTATTCCCATATAACTTATAACGAATCATATGCTATAGTTTTTTTTTAACTTATAAGGACATTTTATTTAATATTTCTGACATATAATGCTAAGAGGTATTATATATTACTATTGTAAGTTTTAATAGAATCTCAAAATTGTCCAGCCAATTTTTTCAGCAAAGCTCATTCAAAAAAAAATTTATAATAGTATTAAACGGTGTAATATGGCTCACATTTGCTTCAATCCATACAAAATACACTTCTGATAGACAGATTTTATTGATAGTTGAAAAATTTATACTAATGTAATTTACTAATATAAATTTACTATATTAAAATGCTATTAAGAAGTTAAGATTTACTAATATTACAAGCAGTAATTGCATCAATTCTTGATCAATTGAAATATTCTAATTATAAGATCATCTTTTTGAAAATGCTGAAAAGGATGTTTTCCTGAAGCTTCGGGGAAAAACGTTTCAGATAACTATAATCAACAAAAATATTTTCTTTTAATTATAAAATTTAACGAAACATCAAAATTCATAATTTTATTTAATATAAATATTGATTGAATATTTATAAGAATGGCATCTTTCTCTATTTCTTCCAAAAAAGCTTTGACATCCATTTGTTCCAAGGCAGTCCGATAATAAAGTTGATTATATAAATATAATATTATGCTACGAAAGTCATGTGCTTTAATCTGCATACAAATTATTGTTATAATGCGTATTACAATATTACTATAATAAATTGTTTAATATCCAGTATATAAGAGAAATTGTACATATTAAAGCAGAGAAGATTTCTCAAGAAATATAGTAATATATGTAATAGTTCTTGTAATTCTTATGATATATATATGAAGTATACATATATTCATATATGAAGTGCGAGTATTATTTTTAACAATTGAATTCTCGCCTACGTACTTACAGAAATATTTGGTTTATAATATTTGCGAATATTTATTTTGGCAGTCGAATACTAAGAACAAATATATTTATTTATTTATATTATATAATTAATGCTCTTTGTAAATATATTTCTAAATATTTCAATAGTAAAAAGCACCAGTTTATATAAAAACTATTTATATAAACTAATAACTTATCTAACTGTGTAACAACGTACATAAACTTTATGCAATGCTGAAAGTGTGAACAAATTTATTTACTTGTAATATATTGAAGCATAACTTACCAATTTATCTCATCTTTTTCACAAATAAAAGAAAGTTATAATATAATATTAGTTATATTATAATTATTCTCCCCGTATACATTACAAATGTAAAGTTTGAATGTAACATGTTATCAGTTTATTGCAGTTTATAAATTAAAACAAATTTTGTTTTTATTTCACGTTTTTTATTTTATCGAATTATTTTTTCAATTTGCGACAATGTTTAATTTGTTTTATGAAAATAAGACATTTACAATACGAAAACCAATAATTTTATATATAAAAGAAAATATATTCGAATTTTCGATACATTTTCTTAAGATTACACTTAAGATTATATTTACTGCAAAATTGTTGAAAAAAATTCCTTGTTTGATTTCGTGGCCATGTCTTTATTTATACATTTTGACAGACTGAGAAAAGACATTACGTATAACATCTGTAAAAAAAAATAAAATTTATTAAAAATTTTTAAGATTAATTTGAACAAAAATCATATAACTTAATCCAATAAAAATTGAAATCATTATTAGAAAAGAGCATCCATGTTCACGACATTTTATATGTGACATAATAATATAATAATACGTGCAAATATTATTACACCTATGAGTCGTAATGAAAAAACTGAAATTCAGTTAACAAATATTTCGCCATTTGATAAAACTCTAATATTAAATACATATTAAATAAGATGCTCTTTATAAAAAATTAGACTTTTATTATATTAGGTGTAATATGCAAGAAATCTACTATAATCAATTACTTTTTTTACGTAAAATTTTATTTTATATTTTGTACTTAATAATATATATTAATACATGTACGTATATTTTATGATAAATTTTGAAGAAGTCTATCTAATCAATGATTTTTAATTCAACGAAGCTTGCAATATAATGCGAAGAAAAATTTAAAATAATTTTATTAGTTTAATTATATATCACTTTAATTAAATTTTTTACCTTGTTTATTTTCCAGACCAAGGATAATTATCAGGATAATTGTCATATGTCCAAAGCGGTTGTGGATCAGCGCTGGGTTGTGGTTCAGGATCAGCGCTGGGATTTGCTTCAGCAACAACTCCATTAGACATAATCAATCCCAGCAAAGCCAAATTCAGGAACAATTGGAGTAAAAATGAAATTATCTTCATGTTTTATGATTTATAGTTAAATAACTATCACAATATTGCTAACTTCGATTTGGATTCTCCTGAACTAAACTGAAAAAAGATCTACATACCGACAGGTATATATACCACCAAGAGAATATCTATTAAAATTCATTAAGGTATTGATAAATCCATTAAAGTATCAAAAAATTTTAATGGGCGCATTTTACCTTATATATAAATATATATTCTTCGAAACTATAATTAGAACAAATATTTTTTAGTAAAAGAAAACGGCTATTCGCAGAAGGCAATTTTATAAAGAGCTATATCTAATCGCTTTTGTTCTTCCAAAGTAATTAAAATCCAATAAAAGTTTTTTTTGGCGCTTTCATATGCAATACTTAAGCGTACTATATGTTATTAACATGTCTCATTGCAACAGAAGATTGCGACAATATCCAGTTGCCACGTAAAAAATTAAAAACTTTAAGCAGCATCGTGAAATCTATATCAATATTTCTCAAACCAGAAAAGTTCTGATATTATATTAGCTATTTTGAATAATTTCATTTTATTTTTGTGTGCGTGTCTTTTCTATTATATATTCTTTTACAAAGAGAAAAAGATTGTCATTATTCATTACTTGCAGTTTTCTCTTTGATATTCATAAATTGATATCTTTCTTTTTAAGAAAGTTTATTTACAGTCTACCGTTTTTGATAATCTCACAAATTATCTTTACATACACACACGCTCTCACATATCTATTAAGACGTAAATAGGAAAAAAATTAAATATTGTATATTCTGCTTGAAAATGCTAATGCATATAAAACATTACTATAAATTATCAGCAAGTTTAATATTATAATTACTATTATTATTATATAAATTGCAGAAATGAGAAGTGTGTTTATAATACATTTTTTGCTGAGTTATTTTAATTTTATAGGTTAAAAAAGATATTTCTCTCTCTTTCTCTTTCTGCTTAAGATTATTTATTTCAATTTATTTTTCAAATTTACATATAGATGTATACAATATATTTTATTGACATAAAGAACATTTATGAAAAAAAAAAATAAAAAATGATGTTTTATATATGGAGAAAAATATTTAAATATTTTCGTTTTCTTCAGATTGCTAAGATTAATTTTTTTAATGCCATTACTAGGATATCTTCGCCATTTAATTGTACATGGTTGTTGACAGCATATTTATTTTTGTGCCATCATCTCTTTCAAAACTCTGAAAGGAAATACAATGAACATGATATTATCAAATATGAAATAAAATAAAATTTATCTAAAATATTTCTATGCAAAAGAAATTATACGATTCAATATAAATTTCTATGCAAAAAAAATTACACGAATTATATCAGAGATGTATAAAATAAGATTTCACGCGCTATTATTGACAGGAAATGTTTCATCAACTTTAAGATGTACTTATTAAATTTATTCTTATAATTTCTATGAAATCATCTACTATAGTTAATTTCTTTCTAATTTATATGGACATTTTATTTTATATTTCTGACATACATAATGCGCTAACGTGTTATGTGTATTAAACTATTATACTATTATACTATTATACTATTACAAATTTTAATAGAATCTCTTTAAAAATTGTTTAGCTAATTCTCTTTCATTCCGAAAAAATTCATAATATACATATATATTTTCTTAATTTATATATTCATATATTATTTCCAATAAATATTTTATTTTTTAATTAAAAAATTTACTTACTCTGTAATCTCATTTATAAGAGTTTTCAAGTAATCGAGGCGAAATTCGACATGCGATATACGTTCTCTGAGATGCAATAGAAATTCTTTGAGATGCGATAGATGGTGTTCCAATGTCGATACATCTATTCCGAATACCGATTTTATGGTTTGGAAAAGTTTTACTATTGATTCTTGTAGAGCAGATTCAGGGACAGCTGCAGCACTGACTCCACTAGGAATAATAATTCCTAGAATCAAGACGAGCACGAGTACAAAAGCTAAGCTTGATTTCATGGTTTATTTCTTCGAAATATTTAGTGAAGCAAGATTTAAGTTCTAGTGGAGATTGTATTCGATCTGTTCAACTTTATAGAAGAATTTGTGCGTAAAAAAATTTTTATTTTTATGCTCCTCGTGATCCATTCCGCTTCTTTACAATATAATGTAAGATAAGAATTGATAATAATTGTTATAATGTATATTTTATAATGTGTAATCATTTCAGAACTTACACTAAAAGATAATCGTGCCAAGAATGTGAATATAATACTCGTATAATAAATATTTTAGACATAATAAACACAAGGGCATTTTATGCTCTCCATAAACTATTCCACTTTTTTACAACATTCATAAAATAAAGTTGAAAATAAATATAAGATAAAATTAATAATAATTTTCATAAACGCTATAAATGTGCACTTTATAACGTGATTATTTCAGGACTTATCAAGAGACACGGTTTATCTTATCAAAGGAGATGTGCGTCATGCCGAGTTACACGCAGTAAAGTATTTTTTATTAGTGTCATAAAAATATATAGATATATGTTGTGATGAATAATAATATAAATATTATCAGAAAGAAAAAAACATAGAGACAGGAGGAGAGACAGAAAAAAGGAAGTGCAAGTATTATTTTTAACAATTGAATTCTCGCCTACGTACTTACAGAAATATTTGGTTTATAATATTTGCGAATATTTATTTTGGCAGTCGAATACTAAGAACAAATATATTTATTTATTTATATTATATAATTAATGCTCTTTGTAAATATATTTCTAAATATTTCAATAGTAAAAAGCACCAGTTTATATAAAAACTATTTATATAAACTAATAACTTATCTAACTGTGTAACAACGTACATAAACTTTATGCAATGCTGAAAGTGTGAACAAATTTATTTACTTGTAATATATTGAAGCATAACTTACCAATTTATCTCATCTTTTTCACAAATAAAAGAAAGTTATAATATAATATTAGTTATATTATAATTATTCTCCCCGTATACATTACAAATGTAAAGTTTGAATGTAACATGTTATCAGTTTATTGCAGTTTATAAATTAAAACAAATTTTGTTTTTATTTCACGTTTTTTATTTTATCGAATTATTTTTTCAATTTGCGACAATGTTTAATTTGTTTTATGAAAATAAGACATTTACAATACGAAAACCAATAATTTTATATATAAAAGAAAATATATTCGAATTTTCGATACATTTTCTTAAGATTACACTTAAGATTATATTTACTGCAAAATTGTTGAAAAAAATTCCTTGTTTGATTTCGTGGCCATGTCTTTATTTATACATTTTGACAGACTGAGAAAAGACATTACGTATAACATCTGTAAAAAAAAAATAAAATTTATTAAAAATTTTTAAGATTAATTTGAACAAAAATCATATAACTTAATCCAATAAAAATTGAAATCATTATTAGAAAAGAGCATCCATGTTCACGACATTTTATATGTGACATAATAATATAATAATACGTGCAAATATTATTACACCTATGAGTCGTAATGAAAAAACTGAAATTCAGTTAACAAATATTTCGCCATTTGATAAAACTCTAATATTAAATACATATTAAATAAGATGCTCTTTATAAAAAATTAGACTTTTATTATATTAGGTGTAATATGCAAGAAATCTACTATAATCAATTACTTTTTTTACGTAAAATTTTATTTTATATTTTGTACTTAATAATATATATTAATACATGTACGTATATTTTATGATAAATTTTGAAGAAGTCTATCTAATCAATGATTTTTAATTCAACGAAGCTTGCAATATAATGCGAAGAAAAATTTAAAATAATTTTATTAGTTTAATTATATATCACTTTAATTAAATTTTTTACCTTGTTTATTTTCCAGACCAAGGATAATTATCAGGATAATTGTCATATGTCCAAAGCGGTTGTGGATCAGCGCTGGGTTGTGGTTCAGGATCAGCGCTGGGATTTGCTTCAGCAACAACTCCATTAGACATAATCAATCCCAGCAAAGCCAAATTCAGGAACAATTGGAGTAAAAATGAAATTATCTTCATGTTTTATGATTTATAGTTAAATAACTATCACAATATTGCTAACTTCGATTTGGATTCTCCTGAACTAAACTGAAAAAAGATCTACATACCGACAGGTATATATACCACCAAGAGAATATCTATTAAAATTCATTAAGGTATTGATAAATCCATTAAAGTATCAAAAAATTTTAATGGGTGTATTTTACATTATATATAAATATATATTCTTCGAAACTATAATTAGAACAAATATTTCTTAATAATAGAAAACGGCTATTCGCCGAAGGCAATTTCATAAGCAACTATATCTAATCGCTTTCGTTTTTCCAAAGTAATTAAAATCCAATAAAAGTTTTTTTTGGCGCTTTCATATGCAATACTTAAGCGTACTATATGTTATTAACATGTCTCATTGCAACAGAAGATTGCGACAATATCCAGTTGCCACGTAAAAAATTAAAAACTTTAAGCAGCATCGTGAAATCTATATCAATATTTCTCAAACCAGAAAAGTTCTGATATTATATTAGCTATTTTGAATAATTTCATTTTATTTTTGTGTGCGTGTCTTTTCTATTATATATTCTTTTACAAAGAGAAAAAGATTGTCATTATTCATTACTTGCAGTTTTCTCTTTGATATTCATAAATTGATATCTTTCTTTTTAAGAAAGTTTATTTACAGTCTACCGTTTTTGATAATCTCACAAATTATCTTTACATACACACACGCTCTCACATATCTATTAAGACGTAAATAGGAAAAAAATTAAATATTGTATATTCTGCTTGAAAATGCTAATGCATATAAAACATGTTAAGTTATTACTATAAATTATCAGCAAGTTTAATATTATAATTACTATTATTATTATATAAATTGCAGAAATGAAGTGTGTTTATAATACATTTTTTGCTGAGTTATTTTAATTTTATAGGTTAAAAAAGATATTTCTCTCTCTTTCTCTTTCTGCTTAAGATTATTTATTTCAATTTATTCTTCAAATTTACATATAGATGTATACAATATATTTTATTGACATAAAGAACATTTATGAAAAAAAAAAATAAAAAATGATGTTTTATATATGGAGAAAAATATTTAAATATTTTCGTTTTCTTCAGATTGCTAAGATTAATTTTTTTAATGCCATTACTAGGATATCTTCGCCATTTAATTGTACATGGTTGTTGACAGCATATTTATTTTTGTGCCATCATCTCTTTCAAAACTCTGAAAGGAAATACAATGAACATGATATTATCAAATATGAAATAAAATAAAATTTATCTAAAATATTTCTATGCAAAAGAAATTATACGATTCAATATAAATTTCTATGCAAAAAAAATTACACGAATTATATCAGAGATGTATAAAATAAGATTTCACGCGCTATTATTGACAGGAAATGTTTCATCAACTTTAAGATGTACTTATTAAATTTATTCTTATAATTTCTATGAAATCATCTACTATAGTTAATTTCTTTCTAATTTATATGGACATTTTATTTTATATTTCTGACATACATAATGCGCTAACGTGTTATGTGTATTAAACTATTATACTATTATACTATTATACTATTACAAATTTTAATAGAATCTCTTTAAAAATTGTTTAGCTAATTCTCTTTCATTCCGAAAAAATTCATAATATACATATATATTTTCTTAATTTATATATTCATATATTATTTCCAATAAATATTTTATTTTTTAATTAAAAAATTTACTTACTCTGTAATCTCATTTATAAGAGTTTTCAAGTAATCGAGGCGAAATTCGACATGCGATATACGTTCTCTGAGATGCAATAGAAATTCTTTGAGATGCGATAGATGGTGTTCCAATGTCGATACATCTATTCCGAATACCGATTTTATGGTTTGGAAAAGTTTTACTATTGATTCTTGTAGAGCAGATTCAGGGACAGCTGCAGCACTGACTCCACTAGGAATAATAATTCCTAGAATCAAGACGAGCACGAGTACAAAAGCTAAGCTTGATTTCATGGTTTATTTCTTCGAAATATTTAGTGAAGCAAGATTTAAGTTCTAGTGGAGATTGTATTCGATCTGTTCAACTTTATAGAAGAATTTGTGCGTAAAAAAATTTTTATTTTTATGCTCCTCGTGATCCATTCCGCTTCTTTACAATATAATGTAAGATAAGAATTGATAATAATTGTTATAATGTATATTTTATAATGTAATCATTTCAGAACTTACACTAAAAGATAATCGTGCCAAGAATGTGAATACAATACTCGTATAATAAATATTTTAGACATAATAAACACAAGGGCATTTTATGCTCTCCATAAACTATTCCACTTTTTTACAACATTCATAAAATAAAGTTGAAAATAAATATAAGATAAAATTAATAATAATTTTCATAAACGCTATAAATGTGCACTTTATAACGTGATTATTTCAGGACTTATCAAGAGACACGGTTTATCTTATCAAAGGAGATGTGCGTCATGCCAAGTTACACGCAGTAAAGTATTTTTTATTAGTGTCATAAAAATATATAGATATATGTTGTGATGAATAATAATATAAATATTATCAGAAAGAAAAAAACATAGAGACAGGAGGAGAGACAGAAAAAAGGAAGAATATGTTTTATTATTTATCAAATATATTTTGAAAACGTTATATTAAATACGATGTAAAGAATTATTAGCAACGTCTATTCTCGAATATTTCGAAAATTTATTATATATAGTTTGTAATATACATATATATATTTGAATTAATTAAATAATAATAAACATCTCTTTATTTGAATAACTTTTATTTGAAGAACTTTTTGTTTTTGAATAATTTTTATCTCGCAATTTCCGCAGATGTGAATCATTCTGCAAGCATTATTATTTCCTACGTTGAAAAAAAAAGTTTTTTAAAATCATATGTATTTTCTTGTATTAGTAGCATATGCACTTAGAAGTCTTTATTCTGATTCAATAAATTACTCTACAATTTTTTGCTATTGGAAGAATGTAATGTGTAAGTAAATTAGTGCATAGATATCCACTACAGGACAAACATGAGCTTGATGAATTTTCTTCCATTCATCTTTACTCTATCTGCATCTGTTTCTTCTCATATGTTATAAAATTAATTCGCATGTCTAGCTTTGTATATCTCTCCAATATTAGAAATATGACAGTATGACCCGACGCAAATTTTTATTGAAACAAAATGAATGAACGAACGGATGGCCGAATGCTATCGATTTCGCTGTTACATCTCTCGTATACGTCTCATTATTGTATCTCTGCGAGAACGCATCATTAAATCCGGCCTTTTGCTGTTTCGTACAGGCTCGCCGCGCACTTACACTTCTCCGATTATACCCGCACGGACGCATCGCGTGGCACGAGGTCAGAATGAAATTTTTCCCTTTAAAATGTTACCTGTACACCCGACGGCGGCGGATACCTGTAGGTTGGCCGATTACAAAGGAATCAACGGCAAACAATTGGATTTCTCTGGTCGAGCAACGCCGCATTCCCGAGGGCGAAGTTCATGGGCGCATCCAGAAATTCGATTGCCGCATGAAGGAGCAGCGCAGGCGGAGGACGATACTGCAGATTTTGCCGCAGCGCATTATCTAGCTACATTTCTCGTAACGAGTGCGTGTCGACAATTTTTCCGTAACATTATCGTGTCAGCAAGATTGCATAATTTTCATAAGAAAGATGTATCCCATCGATCAAGAAAAAGAAAGAAATGGACGCGCGTATCGTCTCTTATATATTATATTTCAAAATTCATAAATTTTAAGATAAATTATAAAATCATCAAAATTTATTATATCCATATTTATAGATATTAAATGGAGCCTTACCTCTATTTGTTCTCAATGTTATTTGTTCGATGCAAAATTATATTGACTGCGTCAAGTTGCGCTGCAAGTTGGCCACTAGCGTTGCGAAATACTAATTGCCACGCAACTCATATTTGGCAAGATCGCGAATGAGGGGATATAACATATGTAGCTACACACCGCCCTCTCCTCATTATCGTAACAATTGATTCGAAGCTCTTCGACCGTGTAATATTTGATATTGCGCGCCCGCCGATGTTCAATCTATTCTCGCGCCGAACGCGAAACAGCAGTTTCGATCTCGATTTCGAGCTCACCCTCGAGGGACCAATAATCTCTCAGCTGGACATTAAAAGCCAACGGCAGTGCGTTGCGACGATCGGCGATGGACCCCGCGGCACACGATGGAATAGCTCCCTGGTGGCCCCGTTAGAGTCGCATTCATCCCCTAGGAAGAACGAGATTGCGCGGAAATCCCTCGATTTCTGCGCGTAATTTCGTCATTTGGTCGACTTTACGAAATTGCGCTTTTTCTTCTCTACGATGGTCATGTTATTCGACGAGAGAAAGAAACCACGAGCTTCGTCAAGTTGGTTTTTTTAGAGGAAAATTTCTCGAAGAATTAATCAAATGAGCATCGTATTTGTAATGCTGCTCTGCGACAAAAAGAATTTATTCTAATAACAGTGGAGATATTTTTATTTAGATAAGTACTCGTAATTTATTTCGATTTATCTCGAAAACATGATGACCATATATTAGGTCTACCGGAAAGTTCTGTCCGTTTTTGGAATAAAACAAAATACAAATTTTTATTACCGTCAATAAACTTTATTAAATAATGTAATTGCCATTATTCGGAGAAGTATTGTCAGCAACTGGATAATTTAAATACAGCAGTCCAAGAAAAGAGGCCGGCGATGTACAATAGGAAGAACATCATACTGCATCATGATAATGCCAGGCCACATGCTGCTTTGGGGACTCGTCAAAAAAGTGCAGAACTAGGCTGGGAAATTCTGTCGCATCCACCATATTCCCCGGACTTAGCACCCACCGACTATCACTTGTTTTTGTCCTTACAAAACTTTTTGAGGGGCAAAAAATTCAAAAAGGAACAAGATATCAAACAAGCACTGGTTCGCATCAAAAGATAAAACATTTTTCGAAAATGGGATATACAAATTGCCCTCACGCTGGCAAGAAATCATTAATAATAATGGAAATTACATTATTTAATAAAGTTTATTGACGGTAATAAAAATTTGTATTTTGTTTTATTCCAAAAACGGACAGAACTTTCCGGTAGACCTGATATATATCAGAAACTTTTCTCTAATCTCGCTAATATAAGAGAGAGTTTAAGTTTTTCCAATATATTTCTTTCATATTATTACACGCGGAAAGCCCAAAATTTTTTTATGCGAAGTTAAAATATAATTGCTCGGAAACATTTTGCAAGAGAAATAAAAATCTCGTCTCTCATTTTGCCCTCTGGAGCGTCCACGAGCGAGAAACGACGTAATTTTGATAATTGCCACGTATTACACACGTATGTACGCATATATAAAACGGCCGACACGCACAACGCGCGACACGTGTATCCTGTATATAATTTTTCGCTACTGGTTCAACCTCTTCTATTCTCTTTTTATGCCGGCATGGTGTTCCAAGACTGCATCTGCAGCACGCAAATGCGTCCCTCGAGGGCTCATCAAAGCGTCGCGTTGCCCAAACGCACCTTGCCCGTATGCACCTTTCTCGTTTCTGTAATCTCGATCATTACCCGTGGTACAGTAGCTTATACTGATATTGTACTCTCGCGTTCTCCGAGATACTCGGTATTTCTTTATTACCGTGCCATTACGCGAAATTGCCACAGATAGAACTGGAAAGTTGACACCCCCTTTCCCCGCGTTTACATTTAATATATTTTAACGATAAATAATGTCAAAAAAAATTTATATATTATACTTTATGAAGATAAAGTGTATAAAACGAGCGTTTCTCGTATAACAGCATCTATTGCAACTAAAATATATGCTTATGTCAAAAATATTGACTGAGACATGCTTATGTCACATTATTGAAGAAACAAAGCTTTATTTTTTCAATCACATGTACGTTTCGTAAAACTGTAAAATGCATTAATGTTTTAAAGATAATATATTATGTATTATAAAATCACGCAAGCAAGGATTTCCTAATTTCAAGGAAAGAGCAAATGTCGAAATTTAATGGTTTCGATCTTTATTTATTCACAAATTATGTAAAAAAGAGAAATGCGCGCAGAAAAATACAAAAATATATCCTGTTATCAAGCACATATTCGAATTAGCAGATGCACGAGAATCGATATCGTCTTGCGGAAAATCCGAGAAAAGTTTTTGCGAATCGGAAAGCTGCTTCTCGTCAATTTTCTTTCAGGTCAAAGCGCAGACTCGAAAATTCCGTGACTCAGTCAAAGACCAAAGGCGAGAGAATTTCATTTACGTTCGTTCCGAACGTTGTTGCTTAACCGAACGATGTAAAATTTTCGAGGAGCGAACCAATCGCGCGTATACATATCTGCGTTCCGTGCGGATGGTGAGGATCGATACCGGAGCAGCGTATCGTATCGTGAAAAACCTGTGAAAAAAAATTCAAGGGATCGAGATGCCCTTTTCCGGAGCTACTCTCTTTGAAGTCGCAGGACAGAGCCTTCCGAGATTTCGGGATTCCGGCGTCGCGGTACCAAAAGAGCGAGAATTTCACTTACGTCGTCGATCTTGGCTTATCCGGGCCGCGTAAAATTTTCGGGAAACGGGTATACATGCGCGCACACATACACATATATATGTATATATATATATATATATATATATATTATATATATATATACAAAATATATATATATATATATATATATATATATATATATATATATATATATATATATATATATATATATATATATATATATATATATATATATATATATATATATATATATATATATATATATATATATATATATATATATATATA